GAATTACATTATGAAACAATTGACATAAACTAATTAAAAGTCAATAGTTCCACGAAGATGGACATTTGCCTGAAAATATGTTGTATATGCAATGGTACTTTCAACTCAATCCAACTCAAAAGAATAAACATGACGATAATGATTTAAAAGCTCAACAAAGACATGTCCCAAAAACAAACGAAAAACTCAAACGGAATAAAAGAACAACTTATGGAATAGACTCCCAACACTAAATTATTTTCAATTTAGTTTTGTATTACATTATTTTACATCATGTAATTATTTTTATTAATATTAATGTATGTCATTTTATTAATTACTCTTATATTTTTAATTTTTTTACTTATAAAATTTAAGTCATATAATGATAAATAAAAAATATTACATATAGTATTATTTTATAATTAAATTAAATTATAAAAAAGATAAAAAACAACAAAACGTGAATTAAAAAAAATAAACATAAAAACAAACTGTGTTATCTAACATGACTTTTGAAAAAAAAAATCTTATTAGGTAGCACGACTTTGAAATTGAAAAAAATAAAAATATAAATCATGCTAGATAACACAAATTATACACAAAAAAAAAATTATATCAAAAGAATTTATGCTAGGTGACACCACTTTTTTATACAAAACCGTGTCATATAATGCGACTTGCCCATTTCTGTAAATTTTCAAAAATCTACACTGGTTTCCTAATATCTATGTTAAATTGCACAAGTTTGGTAAAAGAATAGATAAGCACCACACAAATCTATATTGCCCACTAGTGTAGATAGGTTTTTTTTACATTTGTTATTTTCGTCTTTTTACGTTAGCCTAAAGTCCATTATGAATGCAAGAGATGTAAATGTATGTCAGACATTTTAATTGACGTAAATTTCCGTTGTATTAGTCAAACACCGACGTACTATACTTTTCTCATCTTCTATTTGTTAATGTCATACCCATCAAATACAATGACATCATTGTTAGGCCCACAAGCAAGTCTCAAAAGTGTATATGAAGCATTAACCTTAGTATATACCATTTTCTTAGAGCAATAAAGGAAACTCTTATTATGTTCATTCAATACCCATTTTTCATTCATTCGCGAATGTGTTGCCTTTATTTCGCTTATGTATTGCGATATGTAATGAATCACTTCAGCAGTGTTGTTCAATATGTACAAATTTGCACAATAGAAGCTTCTGATTATTCATATATCCTTTTAAAATCTTCATGTATCTCTCAACAAAGTACATCCATATAAGAAAAATCAGACTGTACAATCGAAAAATTGGACCATACAATCTAACATCCAACTTGCATCAACAAGGAAGATTGATGAATATCAATTATTTCTTCCAAATATTTTCTCAGTGGACTTCTTTTACATCTTTCTGAACACAATATTAATGTTCTTCACCCACCCATATACTTGTTCACCATCGCAGTGCCGATGCAATTTCATTTTCTTAATATCCATTAAGTGCTTTCTTCATTCTATGGTATGGATGATTACAAACTAAGAACTTATGATGCCTTGTGTACACAGTCTTTTGTCCATGTTTCAATTGAATATAACTTTTGTCTTTTTCACATAAAGGGCACGCATAATGACCGTTCATAATATAACCTCTCAAATTACCTTATGCTAGAAATTATTTATTGTACAAAATAACATTGCACAGAACCTAAAATTGTCTTCACAGTATGCATCAAAGACCTCCGCTCTTGTTTCCCACAACATATTCAAATCATCAATCAAAGGATTGAAATATACATCTATGTCATATCCTAGTTGTCGAGGTCATAAAATCATCATAAACAACATAATATATTTTCTCTGCATACATAACCAAGGAGACAAATTGTAAATGATCAACAAAATTGTCCATGAACTATGTTTACTACTTAAGTTCCCATAAGAATTCATGTCATATGTAGTTATTCCAATTCTCAAGTTTTTTTTACTCTGCACCAAATTTTAAAAATATTTCATCAATCCTCTTGCCTTGTAGAGAATCAGATGGATGTCAAAGAAAATTGTCATATTTTCTACCATTCACATGCCATGTCAAGTTTTTTTTGTATCTTCTTTTATGGAAAACAATATTTTAAACTTAAGTATTATTGACAAATACCATAAAAACTTATAAAAGGAGTCATCTATTTCTTCCTCACCACTATTTCCATCATCTTTCTTTTAGAACCACGACAACCCACATATTAGACATACCTTTAATGTAGCAATATTATTTTTGTACAATATGCAATCATTAGGGCATGCATGTATCTTCTTATACTATAAACCCATTGGACATGGTATATTCTTTGTATCATACTTACGATTATGTAATGTATTATCTTCTGAAAGCATCTCCTTTAATAACTTCAATAATTCGATGAAACTTCTATCAGTTCATCAATTTCTTACTTTTAAACCGAACAATCTTAAAGTTGTTGATAATCTTGTAAAACTGCATCATAGGTACAATTGTTGCTCAAAACCAGACTTCAAATAATAATATACATGTGTTCTTTAAAAAAAAAAAACTTTCATCAATATCACGTATCATCTCCTCGAAATTATCATTTATCTCTTCAAAAAAAATTGGTGTTGACATAGTTGAAATGCCTAATATTTCTTCATGTCATGTCCATATTGTATAACTCTTAACAATATCATAGACAAACAAGTGATAATGTATATTCTCAAGTTCGTGACAAATTTGATTCAAACATGGACCATAATATGTCCCTTTGATAGGTTTTTCCATTTTCATGAAAAAATTACTAAAACTCCTCAACTCCCTTTTCATACTCCTCACTAATACGAGGTATATTCATCCAACTCCGATCCATAACTACCTATGTTACAAATTTTGTCATTCTTAGAGACTCAAACACATATTCATATTTACAAAAAAAATATACAAACAACAAAAAACGTGGGACTCAAAGAAATAAATTGTGGAGACATAATGCAGCATAATAAATCATGTGTGGACTCAAACAAATAAACAGACAATCACACAAATAATAACAGTTCAATTTCAATAATAATACAGTAGAGACATTCATGCAATATCATGATTGAGATCCCAAAAATAATCACAGGTTCAATTTATACATAAAACTAGAGATATAAAACACTAACATCAAAGAGGTACAAAACGCCATAAAATTCAAATCCAATTGGAGAGAAATGTCAACCACCATAAATGGGTCACGATGTAGGTCTTGTCGCAGCTCGGTAGCGGATCTTGAACATTGATCTTGATGGGTCAAATAATATATTATTAATAAATAATAAATAAATATAAAAAAAAAAGATGAAAGGGTGAAAGGATAAAATTGTATATATATACTTAAATATATTAAATGATAATTAAGTTTGAGGGGGACAAAATAATAAATTATATGAGAGTTAGGAGGGGTTGAGAGGATAAAATTATAAATAAACAAGTAAATATATTAAATGTTTATTAAGTTTGGGGGCTAAAATCATAAATTACATGGGAGTTACAAAACTTTGGGGGCGCGCCACTGTCGCCGCTCATCATAGTCGAAAAATGCTTTTGGAGGTGCTCCAATAGTCATTATTGTTGTCGTCTACAAAAGACTCCTATAGCACACGAGGAAGAAGAAAACAAGAAGAAATGAAAATACAACTTTACATTTCGACACAAAACCTCACGTTATTGTTTTCAAAACTGTCACTACATTTTTTTTAAGTCGATCAACTATGATGCACGGATACGTTGAAAAGTCCAACGTATCCGTATAAGATACATATCCGATATTGATTCACTCCGATATTTAAAAAATTTGTATCGAAAACGAATCCAAAAAAAAATTCCAAACAAAAATAAAAACAAAATAACAAATATTTTTCTATTATTATTATTATTGTTAAATTAATCAAAACATATTTCAATGATTTAAATATGTATCTCTTTTTCAACATTTTATTTTGAGAGCTTATAGTTTTATGTTAAAAAAATCCAAACAAAAATAAAAACAGAATAACAAATATTTTTCTGTTATTATTATTGTTAAATTAATCAAAACATATTTCAATTATTTAAATACTTATCAAAACATATTTCAATTATTTAAATACGTATATCTTTTTCAACATTTTATTTTTCTGAAAGCTTATAATTTTTATAATTTTATGTTGTTGCTAGCACTTGTTTCTCCTTGATTTTATATCGCTCCCTCCATCACATTCTTATCTATTCTCACTCTTTTTTTCTTTATCTTCCAGCTTGAAACTTTGTGCTTTTTTTTTTTTAGCGTATTCTAATGTGTAAGATTGTTTTCTTTTTTTTAATGTGTAACATCTCTAACTTATAGGTGTTTCAGCTTGAATTGATGTGTACAATTTAAATAATATTTAATAATTATATATAATATTTTATTATAAATTATATATATATATATATATATATATATATATATATCTTTAAATATATCATATCCTATATTTTTAATATCTTAAATATATCATATCCTATATTTTTATATTTTTAATATAAGAAGAATCGTGGTATCGAATATGTATCCAATACTCGTATCATCAGTGTGTATCATTGTATTTCAATAAAAAAGATGTGACATAAAAAAAAACATATTTTTACACCAATCCAGATCGTAAATGTCAACATGTGACATTAGTGTGAGACTTTGTTATTTTTTATTTCATAAGTTCTTTATTTTTCAATCCAAATTATAAACATCAAATCTATTAAGCCTGTTTCTTTCTATTTCATGCATACGATGATTATGTAAATCCAAATTTTTATAGATTTGAAAACGGAGTAAAAATAATTACAAGTAAACAAGATTAAGGATTTTATTCAAAAATATTATCACATTAACTTTCCGCCAAATCGAGCAATTAAACGCACCCTCGATTTAACCAAGTCTCGTTACTTTTATTTGAAAAATCAATCTAAGCCCTTGAAATCAAGAAAGTCCCAAAGACAAAATTTTGGACTTTGACGATCACAGTTTTGAAATGAGAGATTCCTGATCGATATCTTCATAGAACACTTTTTTGAAACCATCCATGTGAGATGCTTCCAAGGATATGGCCACAATGAGGCCATCTCCATTGGCCTCATTCATAAGAAATGCTTTTCCTTCAGAATCCATGTACCCGGGACCAAAATACAAGGGTTCCCCCCATCCAAAATCCGCATCCTTGAAGGAGAAATTCATCCAACTGACAACAAAAAGGTTCGGGTTCCCCTTGTACGGTCCCTTATGCACACTTGGGGCTGGGTAATGAAAATTGTACCTAATCAAATTCATGTCTTTCTCCCTTGATATGTGATCAAGTGCTGACCTTACAAACTCCCCCGTCACTTTTTCAAGTGCCACCCTAACGTTCCCAACCGCATAACTCAAAGGCCTATGAATGATTTCACCAAAAGAGCATGTTGGTGTCACTGTGGGAAATGCTGTATTCCCTGCATAATTAACAGGAAGAGGTGGCCTCATTCGGTGCCTACAATTAACCAAAGTGGACAACCTCGTAGGTTGGTCTCTTTTCCCAGCATAACGTGCTTTACTAACACACCTCCACAAGTACCCTGAGATAACCTCAAAAGTTGAATAAGGGGTTGAACTAGGACCAGGACTAGTAGAGTTTATGTTAACGTGATTCCCCTTGTGTTTCAGTTTCTTCACTTGTTCATCCGTGAGCTTCACTATTGCAACCACTGCCTTGGTGTCTTTCCCCAAAGAACCTAACCAAGGAGAAGGAGTGTGAAACTCCGAATGATCGTGCAACCCCGAATGAGCCATGTACGAATTCAAAATACTTCGATCATTGCATGGTACCATTTCCACGTGCTCCAAGTTCTCCCTCCTAGCCAACTTGGCCCACAACCTCATGAACCGCATGGTTGCAGTTCCGTCAATGGCACCGCGACACAGAGCCACCCCAATGGTAACGCCACCGCAAGGGAACCTCGTAAGTTGCGCAACCAACAAGGGTGTGTCCTCAATGGGAACATCATAATCAATGTTTGGTATGAGCTGTGACACCAAATGGGTAGGCACAAAATCACCCAAATCATCCAAATTCACGTCTTTACAATTGGCTTCCAATAGTTGTGCACCCTTGGCGTTGCAATGAAGCTCCCATCGCCCCCCTTGAATCCATATCAACCTACCCGCAAGTGGGTAATAGATTGTCAAGGCTTGGCCAAGAGAGTGTCTCAAAGTGTCAACAAAATTTGATGCATGGTGATAAGGGTGTGGCTTGTACACGTAAAGGAGTGGTGCGTGAGTACGAAGCTTCATTTGCTCGCACAAGGAAAACAGTTTTTCATAGGGGGTGGTTTCTGAGGGAAAGACGGTGCAACGAGATTGAATGCTCACCATTTCTGTCTGCTGGATTAGTTTATTGTTTTTCTTTGAAATGGTTGCTTGTTTATATATACCTTTCAATGCTTCCAAGTGGTTATGTTGCGTTATGCTATATACGTTTGCAGAGACGTATAGGCTCAATTGCTCCCAAGAGATCATATTTGATTTAGATTCTACCAGTCTCATTCTTATATTGTTATATCCTTAATTCAACACCTTTATTGAATCTTCAAAAAGAAATATTAGAACACATTCAACGTTCAATTGTGTGCGCCATCATATTCCTGTTTGATCAATACTTTACTTACACGTATATTTGAAATAATTTTAATTTATAAATTCTCCATTTTGTGTTAATATTCTTACAAGTATAAATTCTCCATGTGGTAATATAAACTACAAAAATAAAAAAATAAACGATAATTAAATTAAATGTTATGCACCGTTTTAATATATATATATATATATATATATATATATATATATATATAATAATAATAATAATAATATGCTGTAATATAAACTACAAAAATAAATATTAAAAAATTAAAACATTAGTTTTAAATATGTTTATATCTCGCTATAATCATTTATACAGATAATAGTTAATCTTATATTTCTAAGTTTTTATCCTCTTTGTGTGTTCTTGGTTTTTGTCAATATATGAATATTGCTTTAGGGGATAATCTAAAGTTATTGGTAGTAGAACATTGTTTGCCTTTGGACCAAGTATACTAGAGTGGTTTGGATGAGTTCTTTTTTTCCCATGAGTGTTGGTTTAAAGATTTGGATATAAGCCTCCCCTTTAGCGACTTTGAATGTAACATGTCAACCGAGTTAAATGTAGCGCCTACCCAACTTCATCCAATAGTTGGGCTTTTCTCATGGCCTTTCAAATTTTGTGTTCTCTGTTGAGTATTGAGCCCATTGTAGACAAATTTCTGTATTTTTATCAAATGAAGTATGGTAGCACTAGTGGAAAAATAGCATTCTATGACGAGTTTTTATCACGGTCGTAATTCACCCGTCATAGTATGTAGCGCGGTGACAATTTTGTAATAAAATCATAAACTTTCTATGTCGGGTAAATTTTAACCGACATAGTAAGTGGAAAGTTCACTTTCTATGTCGGTTAAAATTTACCCGACATAGAAAGTGTCTTTGATGACGGGTGTTAGGGCAACCGACATAGTATCTTCTATTTTACCACTTCACCCATAGCAGAGCTCCCCGTTCGCCTGTGTACGTTTCTCCCTACGCTCCATTTCATTTCATCAGTTCACCCATAGCAGAGCTCCCCGTTCGCCTGTGTACGTTTCTCTGCACCCACATTTGTTCGTCACGCCACCCGCCAACGCCGTACGTCGTGCCGCCGCTCGCCTACTGTCGTTGGTGTCCGTCGCCTATGATACGTTTCTCCCCACCGGCTCGCACGTCACGCCACCTGCCACCTCTGTAGGTCTTCAAGAGGTAAGTTTTCGTGTTTGCTTTAGCCATTGTAGGTTTACAGTATTGAATCTGGTAAGTAATAATGCTGTCAAGAGAAGGAAACATCACGGGTGCCTTTAGCTAATTTAGAGATGTATTGTAAGTAGTTTAGTCATTTGAATGTGTTTCTGTAGGCATTCTTTCGTGATTTTGATTTAGAAAATTAGATTTGTATTATAATGTAGTTATTTTGAGAGTGGAGTTGGATTTCGTGTAGGCATTATAATGTAGTTATTTCGTGTTTCTGTAGCTAATTTGATTTTGAAAATTAGATTTGTAACAATGGATCGGAGTTGGATCAATTATAGACGAACAACAAATGAATATGAGAGTGGAGTAGAACAATTCCTTGAATTTGCTAAGATGAATGTTCTGGATAATGATGGAAGATTCTATTGCCCTTGTGTTAACTACTTGAATGAGCGAAGATTACCGACTGAAGTTATTCGGGAACATGTTCTTTGTGATGGTTTCCTAAAGAGTTACATAAAGTGGACATGGCATGGTGAATTATTAAACATGCCAAGTGTAGAAGACAAAGAAGAAGTTGATCTAGAGATGGATGATCGAGCTGGAGGAAATGATTCGTGAGCTTGGACAAGATGCCTTCCAACATACACATGTGTACGAGAAGTTGTCCAATGATGCAAAAGAGCCTTTGTATACAAATTGTACTAAGTTCACACGATTGTCGGCGGTACTAAAATTGTTCAATGTGAAGGCAAAGAATGGGTGGACTCGATAAAAGTTTCACGGAATTGCTTGAGTTGTTGAGTGACATGCTCCCTGAAGGTAACACATTGCCAACCCGCAATTATGATGCTAAGAAGATATTGTGTCCAATGGGTATGGAGTACCACAAAATTCATGCATGTCCGAATGATTGTGTGTTGTACAGGAAAGAATTTGAGAACTCGTCACGAATGTCCACAATGCGGGGAATCACGATACAAGAAGAAGGATGGTGATTCCGACAATGATGTAATGAAGGGTACCCCGGCAAAAGTGTTATGGTATCTTCCCATTGTTCCAAGGTTGAAACGATTATTCACTAATGGAAATGATGCAAAGCTCACTAGATGGCATGCGAGATAGTCGTATTAAAGATGGTCGGTTGAGGCATCCGATGAGATGGATTGCAATGGAAAAAAATTGATTCCATCTTCCAGAATTTTGGTAATGATCCAAGAAACATTAGGTTTCGACTTGCTACGAATGGAATGAATCCATATGGAAATTTAAGCAAGTAAACATAGTTCATGGCCTGTGGTGTTAGTTATTTACAACTTACCTCCGTGGTTGTGTATGAAACGTAAGTACTTGATGCTATCTTTGATGATCTCGGGTCCCAGACAACCTGGAAATGACATTGATGTTTTTTTAAGCCCATTGGTTGAAGAGTTGAAGATGTTGTGGGAGGAAGGTGTTGATGTGTTTGATGGGTACACAGGTGACTTATTCAAGTTGCGTGCAATGTTATTTTGTACAATTAATGACTTTCCAGCATATGGTAATTTGAGTGGCTACAGCACAAAGGGACATAAAGCTTGCCCGATATGTGAAGAAGACACATGTCACTATCAACTACAACATGGAAGGAAAACAGTGTACCTTGGACACCGAAGATTTCTTCCTTCAAACCATTCATATCGTAAATTAAAAAAATCATTTAACGGGTGTCAAGAAAATGATGCAGCCCCAACACCTTTAAGTGGGGAACAAGTATATCAACGAGTAAGTGCGATTTCGTGTGAGTTTGGAAAGACGCAAAAGAAAGCCACAGGTATATGGAAGAAAATGTCAATCCTTTTTGTTCTTCCATATTGGAGGGTTCTTGATGTGAGGCATTGTATAGATGTCATGCATGTAGAGAAAAATGTGTGTGACAATATCATCGGAACGTTCCTTAACATTCAAGAAAAAACAAAGATGGTGTCAATGCTCATTTGGACATGGTTGAAATGGGTATAAGAGAACAATTAGCTCCTCAACCTCATGGTAACCGAATATACTTGCCTCCAGCATGTCACACACTGTCTAAAAAAGAGAAAAGAAGTTTTTGTGAGTTTTTACGAGGTGTGAAGGTTCCATTTGGTTACTCTTCCAATGTGAAGAGACTTGTATCTATGAAAGATCTAAAATTGCTTGGGTTAAAATCTCATGATTGTCATGTATTGATGCAACAACTTCTACCTGTGGCTATTCGAGGTATCTTACCAGAGAATGTTAGATATTCCTTAACTCGATTATGCTTTTTTTTTAATGCCATATGTAGTAAAGTTATGGACCCAAATGTTTTGGATCAGTTAGAGAATGAGGCTGCAGTCATATTGTGTCAATTTGAGATGTACTTTCCTCCATCATTTTTTGATATTATGGTTCACTTGATTATTCATCTAGCCAGGGAAGTTAGAATCTGTGGTCCAGTTTTCTTACGATGGATGTACCCTATTGAGCGATACATGAAGATATTAAAAGGGTATGTGAAGAACCAATATCGTCCTGAAGCATCAATTGTTCAAAGATATATTACAGAGGAAGCTATTGAGTTTTGCACAAAATACTTATCAGAAGTTGAAGCTATAGGGTTACCTAAGACTCGTTACCATGGAATAGGTCTTGGTAGAGGAACTCGAGGTGCAAAAGTTGTGACAATGTGTCGAGATGAAGTACTTCAAGCGCATTTGTACATATTGAATAACAGTGAAGAAGTCATCCCCTACTTAAGTGCTCATAAAGACATTGTGAAGCGAAATAATCCACGTATGCCTAAAAAGTGGGTGATCACTGAACACAACAAGAGCTTTTTGAAGTGGTTTAAACAACAAGTTGAAGGTGACAATACAGCTTCGATACACTAAAGTGGCTAGCATGTGAGCCAAACTTTGATGTGATATGTTGGGGTGGGTATGATATAAATAACTATTCATTTTATACAAAGGGAGAAGATGAAATAAGCACAATGCAAAATAGTGGAGTCATGGTGGTGGCTGAATCAATGCATTTCTCGAGTTCAAAGGATAAATATCCGATAAGGGCGTCAATGGGCTACTTTGGTGTAATTGAAGAGATTTGGGTAATAGATTACACGATATTCAGAGTACCTATTTTTAAATGTAAGTGGGTTGATTTTAATATCGACATCTTCACCAGACGATCTTGGATTTACCTTGGTTAACCTTGAAAATACTCGTTATACCGAAGAACCATTTATCATGGCATCTCGGGCAAAACAAGTGTTTTATGTCAACTGATCCCGCTAACAAAGGATGGTCGGTGGTTCTACAAGGAAAACCCATGTATACTTCGATGAGAATGATGAATTAGTACTTGATATACCGGAGACACCATGTTTCTCTTCAAATATGCCAAACTTGAGTGTTAATGTAGAAATAGATGATGTGCATGCCATACGTTATGACCATATGGAAGGATTTTAGGAGAATGTTCCAACTTGATAATGTATGCACTTTTTTGACTTGTAAATTTGACTTGTAACAATTTAGATTGAATTGATTTAAGTTAGC